CATCCATTAGACAAATCTAAATCTACTTCACGTAAACTATTAATATCATTTGTTAATTCCGTCAATAATATAGACCAATCAGTTTTATTCATTGTATGTGGTGTTATAGAAATAGGACCTTTGTGAGAAAATAATTTGCCTAGAAAACTATCACGATTAACAACATGAATTTTTGAAGATAATTTTGATTGTTTGAATTTCTCAAATCCGGAAGGATGGAGAATGAATACTTTCAGGGTATTATTATTTGATTGAAAGGTAGAAATATCTGGTGAAAAATACTCATTTTCCGATAAATCAAGAACATGTAACGTTTTTACTAATGATGGTATTAATATACTGAAACTTCTATCATCAATATAACCAATTTTAAGTCGTTGAAGAACGCTTGTTGGTATTGAATGAGATAAATCAGTAGCACATTCATAGAACATAGGATATGGAGGTCTAAAAAAATATATTGTTCAAAGTTAACCATTAGACAAACTTACTCCCGCGGATCGATATGATTATAGCTCAAAAAATTGAGTGAAAGTATCGATTGATTATCTTTCAGTACTTCTGCAAATGCTTTTGTCGTTTGTTCATTAACGCCGATTGCATCTACTGATACATTTTTGATCGAACAATTTTTTTTTAATGCGTCTAATAAAAAATTCGTTTTCGTATTATCAGAAATGGAATATAAAAAGAATTTGAAACGAATCAATGTTGTATGATTTTCAATTATTTTAATAAATTCAATAAAACCAGGCTCGATCATTTTATTACTAGTTGCATCCCATGATACTGATAAACCTCGTAAAGGATAATCTTTATTTTGTATTTGTTCGAATACAATAGGCCAATCATCATCTTTTAGCTTAGTAAAACTCAAATCCATATCAATACCATCAATTGTATATTCCTTTGATATAATTTTAGCTTTGATTAACTAAAAAGGAAAAGTATATAGATTGGAAAAGAAAAGCTTTTCATACTTCTTTCAATCGATTCACATTGTCAGAAGATATATTGTTGTTTAGATTATTTGCCATTGCCAGTTTTTCTTCTTGTTTTTGTAATAATAAAAAGATACGTCTTGTAATGAGAAGAGAATAAAGGTAAATGAATGTATAATTACCAAGAAAATAATTTTTGCCTACGTCAAACGATAAAACAAATATGAAAAAACTATTCAACCATGATAATTGTATATTTTACAGTGTATTTAGACCTACGTGTTGAAGTTGTCACGGACTTGTTTCGATTGTGGAAAACAAACGACGTCAAATGAATAAAATCATTCAAGAAATATTTATTTTAATTATAAAAAAATTGAAAAAAATCTTATTTCATCATAGATGACACTATTGTCAAATATTAGGATAAAAACAAAACTTAATCTATATATATAAAGAAGAAAGTTTGTCTGTCTGTTCGTTCGTTATGCATTTGGAGACCGTACGAGCAAATGCAATAAAACTTTTCAGAAGTGATGTCTACACCCAGGGGAAGGTCGACATCTATTTTTTTCCGAAAAAAAATCAATCCTACGCTTGCTACAGGCAATCTATGAAACTAACCGATAGAATTTCAGCATTCCAAAAGGTTGAAAAAAAATTGGTAGCGAAGGCCGTCTGAGCGCACATCTTCTGTTCGCTAGGCATTCAGTCCCTGCAATAGCTATGGTCCCCAAACTTTCCACGACGCTTCCTTGGATCCCAGTGAAGGTCGACAGGGGGATTGGCATGGTCATCGAGAGGTGGGTAGGAGGTCGTGGGTGAAACTTCACCCAGGTGGTTCTGTGATAGCTAACCTCACTAAACCATCAATTACACTTCTGTATATACAAGGAAAAGTGGAGAGGGGGTCGGATACGGAAAGTGCTTGAGATTTAAATACTTTGCAGCGGAGACCATATGAGAGGGATTTTACAGTGGCAACTGTGTGAGAGAGATTTTGCAGCGGGTATCTCCTCTAGTTACTAATAAATGTTCTGAACTTCGTCTCGTTTATTTCCATTTCAATAAAGTACAAAAGTCGATTATGAAAATTATGTTGATTATCAATGCATGATGAACGAAGTCCCTGAATTTCTACCTGAAAAAGTGTTTTTTTTATAATCTTCCATTGGTAAAAGAAAAGTGTGAAAAGTGTATATCAATAGAATGAATGAAGTAAAATAAGCAAAAAAAATAAATTCATGATTGATAAATCGATTCAATAGAATAGTAAAAAATATTAGAAATAAACGAAATCTTGAGAGTGTGGGTGTGAGAGAGGATCGATCTTTTCTTTATCCAAATCCATCATATCTTGTCGTATTATCCATCCTTACCTACATTCACCCTTATCAACATTTAAATCTACCTCGTTTTAATTATATTTTTTTATTTATTGTTTATCTACATGAAACATAAATACATATAATTTTATTTCAATAAAGTTGAAAAATAATAGCCTATATCAATGAGAAATATATAAACAAAATTTACAAATTAAATTGTTCTATCTATTCTATTACTTGCCATTGCGGATTGTTTCCTTATATTTTCATCGAAAACTAGGTAAAAATAAAATATTATTAATAAATATGATTTTACTGATCAAAATATTTGTCATTGATTTGACAAATAAAATCATTGAGATTTCTGTTTCTTAAACGATGTGTCTGTTTTATTAACCATTTACATGTCATTTTAATTGTTTTTTTTGTACCAACTAATCGTTCTACACATGGGAAATATCGAGACCAAACAAAATAATCATCATCCAAAAATTCTGCATATTGAGGTAATACTAATGTTTTAATTTGTTCAAGTAAAATATCTGGAAAATTTTGACGTTCAGGACTGGGATGAGGACAAATCAAACAAAGATAATTAACAAAAGGCATTGCTTCTTTAATGATCTCCTTAATGCTGTTAAACTTAGTATGATTTTAAAAGAAATAAAGATGAAATATTCTTTGGTGTATATAACAATATAGTTTATTTATAAATATTATCTCTAGATTATTAACAAAAACAAAACTTATTTCCATTTCAAGTAAATATTATAACTTTGTCGATGAATTGTATAATCTAATAAAAGTTTTTCATCATAAATCATTTCATTTAATTGTTTTATCATTTGATCATCTGCTGTTCTTATAAAAATACATAATGAATGTAAATAATCATAATGTTTTTGATTAATTTCTTTTACAATATCTTTTAAAAATAGTTGAATATTCATATTTTCTATACATTCAACACTAAGATATTCCATTTGAGGACAAAATGACATAAGAAAATAAATATCTTTAATAGTAGATGCTGTGCCTAAGTAAACATATTTTATTTGTTTTGCATGTTCTAATGCAGATGTTGTAGGATATCCTTGATTTAGAAATGAAATTTCACGATAAAATTCTAAAGAATATATATTTATTGAGATAAGATTAGGTAATAAATGTATTATTTGCATTAATCTTTCATTAGAAATTTGTTGTTCAATATTTAAATGATAAATTTGTGTAACATTTAAAATACGTTTAATTTGATTAAATAGAATAAAAGGAGACTCACGAGAATAAACATATTTGATTGTCAATTGAGTTGATTTAGTCGGATGTTCACGAGAAGAATTTATATCATTATACCATCTGTACTTGTATGGACGGACATAATATTGAATATTATATTCATAAATCTCTATATCGAAAATCAAATTTCGTTGAATCCAAAATGGTGAAATGAATTGATTCAATCCTCCATCATAAATCGGACAATTACGACCATATCCTAATTCACGAAAACATAAAGAAAATTTTTTTAAT